TCAGCGACCACAAGAACCTCACATATTGGAAACAAGCCAAAGACATGAACCGACGACAAGCACGCTGGGTGAGTAAACTGACCGAGTTTGACTTCCGGCCTGGTACACGTTCCTGGTACCCAAATGGTCCAGAGCGACGCTCTCTCCCGTCGACCCGACCATGACGACGGCTCTAATGACAACACCGACGTCGTTATGCTCCCACCGGAAGTATGGGTCGCTGCCATCGACATCGACACCCGCGACACCATCCTTTCCTTTAAGGACGACCCAATAATGAAGGAAGGCCTCACTGCGGCGCGCACTGGAGGAACACCGCGCACTGGAACAGACTGGTCCATCAATGATGACCTCCTCCTATACCAGGATCGGGTCTATGTACCCCCAGATGAGTCTCTTCGCAAACGTCTTGTCTCCCACTATCACGATCTCCCCTCCGCAGGACACCCCGGTGTTCAGAAAACCCTCCTCAGCTTGCGCCGTGACTACTGGTGGCCGAGCATGGCCCAGTTTGTTGCTCGCTATGTTAACAGCTGTGGCATCTGCCAGCAAATGAAGGTTAACACACATCCAGCCCGACCGCCCATCACCCCCATTCGACCCCGCGCAAATGCCAAGCCCTTCAGCACATTCTCGTGTGATTACATCACCGACTTGCCACCGTCCAACGGCTTCGATTCAATTCTGGTCGTAGTGGACCACGACCTTACGAAGGGGGTAATTTTCATCCCATGTAACAAAACAATTGATGCTCTTGGGACGGCAGACGCAATGTATCGAGAGGTCTACAAGTGGTTTGGACTCCCAGACAAGATCATCAGTGACCGAGGACCGCAATTTGCGTCCAAAGTCTTTCAAGAACTTTGCAAAATGACTGGAGTTCAATCGGCCATGAGTACGGCATTCCATCCGCAAACCGACGGCGAGACAGAACGAGTGAACCAAGAGCTGGAAATCTACCTCCGCTGCTTCACTGCCAATGATCCGGATAAGTGGGCTGACCATCTTCACACCGCGCAATTTGCTCACAACTCCCGTGAGCATTCCACGACGAAGACATCCCCGTTCAAACTCATGATGGGATACGAACCTCGTGGAATACCCACCGCGCACCCCGGATCAAACACGCCGCAAGCGGCTTATCGCCTCAAGGACTTGCAAAACATCCGCGAAGAAGCACATGCGGCAATGGAGATGGCCCAGAACGTCCTGGCCAAGAGAGTAAAAAGGAAGGGGGGTTCCTTCCGTAAAGGTCAGCTGGTATGGCTAGACTCCCGGAACTTGAAGCTGCCATACCCGTCCAGGAAACTAGCCCCGAGGCGAGAAGGGCCGTTCAAAGTTCTAGACAAGACCAGAACGGTCGCGTACAAGCTAGACCTCCCTAGCACCTGGCGAGTCCACCCCGTTTTCCACGAATGGCTTCTATCTCCCTACTCGGAGACGGAGATCCATGGTCCGAACTACACGAGGCCACCCCCTGACCTTATCGAAGGCGAAGATAACTACGAAGTCGAAACCATCATCGGACACCGAGAGAACAAGAGGATGCGACGCCGGGAATATCGCGTCAGGTGGAAGGGTTACTCAACTGCCGATGACTCATGGGAGCCCGAAGCGAACCTAACTGGGACGGCTGACGAAGTGTTGGCAGAGTATAAGAACAGGAAGGACTTGAGCTGAAACGATAGCAGCTCTACCCAGTCGCTACATCCCCACTCGCACCAACATGTCTTCCACCCTCTCGTTCCTCGACCAGTTCAACGCCCCCTCGACCGAAGGCGGGAAAAGGCTCTCAATCTACACCCCTAAGCACACCCACGTCGGCGACAGCACCTTGCTGACGCTCCTTCTCAGTAACCCCACCGACGTTTTCAACAAGCTCAAAGCCCACAACCCCGAGGCAACCAATGCCACCGACCGCGCTGCACTAGAGGCGTATCTCTCCGCCCGCCGCGAATACGACGAGGCTGTCAAGGCAGCCGACGAGGCCATCGACCACCACAAGCGGCTCCTACGCCAACAGGACGACCGCGTCCTCACCGAGCTCATCCGGCTCGACAATCTGAAAGTTGCCCATCGCTTTCAACCGCTCTTACCACGCAGCATCCGGGCACAACACAACAAATTCATCCCGCGCGCCATCCCCAACGCGTACTTACCCCTACCCGCACCCCTACCGACGTCTGCCTTCAGGCGCCTCCCGATCCCATCCCCTTTCCTCCAAACAACGCCGCGGAGCACTACCATCCTGGCTG